TATTGTAGTAGTTATAAACAAAGGTTTATTTTATTTCAGATTAACATTTGAGGGCAGCAATTTTATTCATAATGTCGAAATAAAACCGACGTAACGTTACTTGAAAGCATTATAGCCTACTATTCCTGCCAAACTTCCATGGTTACAGTTAGTAGTGTTACTACAGTAAATCCATGGTGAATGTTGCTGATCTGTGGGCACTGGATAGTTCATTCATGGCACAATGTTTATTCCTGTTTTCCACGTCAGCGCTGTTTGATCCGTTAATAACGGAGAAATGTGAATGTTTCTCACTAGATCTCGCTGCGATATTATTACTTCAGTGGCAAATTCAACTGCTTTCTTTACTGGATCTCTTAGTGCTGTGTAGTAACAGTGTCGCTTGATCAAGACGCTGGATTGGTCCAAACTGATAAACGATCCGTCAACCACACAATAACGAGTAGCGCAGCTGCAGTTTCGTTCCGCTTACATTACGTTTGCTATTTGATGTTGGGCAATGTTGTGGTCGCGGCAGCATCTCTTACATTATGAGCACGCTTGCCACGCCCCTACATTTTAAATAACGAAATTTTGGTCAGCAGGAAAATGGTCCAACAAACCGTTCGGTTTGTAATGCACACTGAACCGAAAGCCTCGTACCGAACGGTTCAATACGAATACGAATATATATATGTATATGTGTGTGTGTATATATATGTATGTGTGTGTGGAATGCTTTATATCAGGCTTGATGTAATTTTACTTGATTTGTGATTTAATAACTGTTTCATTTCATTGATTCGAGTACTAAAATTTTCTATGCATCTCTGCTGCAAGCTAAACCACAACAGTGGCGTTTGTATTTATTTATTTTACATGTGTATTTTTTTGCTTTGATTGTAGCTGCTGTCATGAAATGGGACCCAGCTGCAACAGAGGCCCAAATAAAGTCTGCAGCCGATCATCTGAAACATGCCCCCGGGAGAGTCGGGGCTTGCCGCTATAAATGAAGCTTGTGAAGCTTATAGCAGCCACATTTTGTTAATTGATATGTTATACTGTTTTAACAACATTTTATAGATTATTTAAAGGGAAATTGTGTTAATTTATAACTTTACTGTTCTGGCTTTTAAGTTTTGGTCCAGTAGAACAAAATAGTAATAAAATATATATTTTGAGATTTAAATAGTTGATTTCTTGGAGTGATCAGTTTGGTTTACAGGCAAATGGTAAGCAGTTTATTACAATTATATTGATAAGATATACAAATGCAAGACTTGTATATACACTACACAGTTCCCGTATTCAATTGAGTATTCAATATTATCAAAATTCTTTCAAATCTTATTTAGGTCTATGGTCTGTGTGTCTGCAGTTTCATGACACGACAACCATTAACAATGAGTAACTGGGTTTTTCTCAGTGAGAACTAACTCACTGCCACTGTTTTGAAGTAAAGATTTTTTAAAGTTGGATCCTTGCAAAATGCACAAATGGGATTTCCGTTTCAATATGGGTCTTTAACAGTCTTCTTTGACATTTATACTACAGAAAACGTGACTAATACAACTTTTATTCTGGCTGCCTTTAGATGTCTAACAATTACGTCTGTAGCATGTCTTTAATTGACGTCTAAACAATGTCCAAAAAAAATTTATAAAAAACGTTCATTCTTGCTCCTGTGAAGACGTCTTCTGGATGTCTAACAATTACGTCTGTAGCACGTCTTTAATTTACGTCTAAACAATGTCCTGAAAAGACGTACTAAAACCTTTCATTCTGGCTCCTGTGAAGACGTCTTCTGGATGTCTAACAATTACGTCTGTAGCACGTCTTTAATTTACGTCTAAACAACGTCCAGAAAAAAGGTATATAAACCTTTCATTCTGGCTCCTGTGAAGACGTCTTCTGGATGTCTAACAATTACGTCTGTAGCACGTCTTTAATTTACGTCTATACAATGTCCAGAAAAGACGTATAAAAAACTTTCATTCTGGCTCCTGTAAAGACGTCTTCTGGATGTCTAACAATTACGTCTGTAGCACGTCTTTAATTTACGTCTATACAATGTCCAGAAAAGACGTATAAAAAACTTTCATTCTGGCTCCTGTAAAGACGTCTTCTGGATGTCTAACAATTACGTCTGTAGCACGTCTTTAATTTACGTCTAAACAACGTCCAGAAAAGACGTATAAAAACCTTTCATTCTGGCTCCTGTGAAGACGTCTTCTGGATGTCTAACAATTACGTCTGTAGCACGTCTTTAATTTACGTCTATACAATGTCCAGAAAAGACGTATAAAAAACTTTCATTCTGGCTCCTGTGAGGACGTCTTCTGGATGTTTAAAAATTACGTCTGTAGCACGTCTTTAATTGACGTCTAAACAACGTCCAGAAAAGACGTATAAAAAACTTTCATTCTGGCTCCTGTGAGGACGTCTTCTGGATGTCTAACAATTACGTCTGTAGCACGTCTTTAATTTACGTCTAAACAACGTCCAGAAAAGACGTATAAAAAACTTTCATTCTGGCTCCTGTGAGGACGTCTTCTGGATGTTTAAAAATTACGTCTGTAGCACGTCTTTAATTGACGTCTAAACAACGTCCTGAAAAGACGTATAAAAAACTTTCATTCTGGCTCCTGTGAGGACGTCTTCTGGATGTCTAACAATTACGTCTTTTAGACGTATTATAGACGACTGTTTGCTCGCTGGGTAGCATACAAATTTATGCCGATTTTGGTGATTTTATTCACATCTTACTTTTTGTGACACAAAAGATTTTGTGCAGAAGGGCCTATATTCTCTATACTTTGCTTGTCATGCGTTGGAAATGTGAATGGTGGTCAAATCCAATAGGTCATCACCAAAACATCATGCACACTTTCTTCTTTACGCCCTGACTAACCAGCACTAACCAACATAAACCAACACAGAATTCATGATGGTTTATGCTGGATATTTCACCAGTTATCTGCCTGCCTGCATAAACTGACCCAAGACTCATAGTTCCTTCCTGTTTATCTGATGCTTCATACCTCCTAAATAAAACAAAACAGAAGAGAGGTCTTATAATGACTTCCACTCCCATAAAAGGCAGAAAGAATGTTAACACAACATGTTACACTCTCTTCCTTGTAAAACTGATGTCTAATTCAGTGAATTTGCATGTTAGGCCCAAATAAGTACTTTGATAATGCAGATTTTGTTAATATAAATAATATTTTGAACATTTTTAACAGAAGATAGAAATATGTATAGCAGTTAAGTTATACACTTTTTTTCTGTATGTGTAGACAAATTATAAGGGAGATTTTAAAGGCTATTTGTCACACGGTTTTCTTCAATGATTTCACAGGATAGTTAAATTTAAGTTTCTGTATAGACACATAAGGTATGTCCCTTTTTAAAAGGATATTTCCCAAAAATTATGTCATCATTTACTTCCTCATGTCATTTCAAACATTTTCTGGCAGATATTTTAACTATTTTAACTAACAAATGTTTTACTTTTATGCAATGGATGTGATTGGGGTCCAAAGCAACATTGGACTTTCATAATTTTATGCAGAAAAAAGAAAGTCAGATTGAGTAAATGATGTTATAATTTTAATTTTGGAGCTATGAACTTTATGAACTGTTCCTAAAAATAAAAAAAAGCATGGCTAACTTGTCCCACCAAGAATCAATACTGGAGAAAATAAATGTAATTTTAAACTTTTGACTCAAAATCTCAAAAATATTTTTTACATATTTGTTAAAACTGTCATTATGTCCTGACAGTAGAATATGAGACAGATAATCTGTGAAAAAATCAAGCTCCTCTGGCTCCTCCCAGTGGTTCTATTGCCATTTGCAGAAATACACCGCTCCCGGTCAGAAACAACCAATCAGAGCCAGGAGGAATGTCTTAGCACTGTCAATCACGCTCGTGTATGCGCTGATCACACCCCTCTCTTGCACAGCGCGTACCGTCGTTCAAACTCAAGATTGCCAGTGTGCTGCAGCTGTGCTAATGGCGGAGAAACAACCTAAACTGCCAATTTCTCGAGTGGCACCTGCTCATAAAACAAAGACAGGTAAAAGGTAAAAGGCCGATGATGATAAACAAGCGAAAAAGAAAGAATTAGACAGAGCCCAATGTCACTCGGTGTCAAAACTCTAGCCGCGTAACATGTAGATAAAATGTCACGCACTGCAAAGCAACAATTGAAACCTGCTAATTCACTGCCTTGCCATGTTGCTGAAATAATGTACTAGCAAACCTTATCTAGCATTAGGCCTACATATCGCTAGAATAATTACTTACATACTGTTACGTTAGTTACCGTTATATTATCTTACTAGCTATTTATAACTTATAGAAAGGTTGCAACGTTATAGTTACATTACATGTATTGCAAAATACGTAACGTTAATGATTTGAGGACCAAGTTTGTAGTCAAAGTATGGGCAGGCCTTAGTCAATGTAAAGCAATATTGTTGATGTTTCGTCCCTACTGTGCCTTCATCTGTGCCAGTAACTTCTGTAACTCCAGTAACTACTGTGCCAATAACTTCATCCGCCGTCATCGGTGGCCCTGCTTACTAGCCACAGGCTCCGCTGTGGGGGAGGAGCTGTGGAGGGAGGGCTGTAGCGCAGCAGAGAGCAAGGGGGTGGGACCTGTAAGTAGTGCTTGTTCAAATTTTCAGGCTAAGTCAACGTTTTCTCAACACTCCCTACTGCAGCTTTAAGTGTGATAACTCCCAGTACATTCAACAATAATAAGTCAAACAAATAAATAAGAACTTAGATCTCTGATAGATTGTGTAAATGAGTAAATGAAGTAGACAGATTCAATGCTTTGTTTTAGCAGGCCTTTTTCTATGTCAATAATATATAGAAATATATTATAAAGTGCCTTGGTGCAAAGGTCAAGCAAATAAAGAAGACCCTAAATGAGTTTTTTTTAGACATGGGGCATTTTACATTGGCAATTTAAAATAAATATCAGTTCAGTAATAAGGAACAACGAAAAGACAAGGAGCTTAATGTCTTTATTTTATATATGATATACACTTCACTATCTTGTTTTTCTCTCAAATAGCACATGCGCAATCAGCACAATATGTTGATTTTAATTTTAAGTAGATGATTATACACAAAAATATCTTGTTCCTGTGTATGTTGTATGACATTTGTTCTTGCATAGATACAATATTTGTGTAACACAGAGTAAATGCAAGCACATGGGACTGTTGAGACTTCCAGGCTGTGAGATATATCAAAAGCAACACGTCAGGTATTTAGGACAGTAATTAACCTTTTCCAGGTTAACAGGGAAATGTGAGCATGTCGGTTTTAAAGTCAGCTTCCATAAAGGAATACTGTCTGATAATAAGTTTTGTTGAAGCTTCAGTGTATTAAATCATAGAATAATATTTTTTTTAAAATCGAAGTCTGTATCTAAACTGGATGTCTTTAGTTGGTTGCATGGAGCCAAAGCCCCATCGTCTGATATCAATGCCTGGAATCTCTTCATTTGGATTTATGAGCTCGAAGTCAAAGTAGGACAACATGAGAAAGACAAACTGCTTCAGCTCATTTGTGGCGAAGAATCTTCCTGGACACATAGTGGTTCCTGCTCCCCAAGGCATGTTGTAATACTTGAGTTTCTTTCCACCCTTATAGAAATCAGTCTTTTTGCTTCCATCTGGTGCGAGAAAACGATCAAACTTGAAGGTGAAGGGATCTGGGTAAACTTCTGGGTCTAACTGAACAGCTGTGTAGGGGAAAATCGCCACTCTGTCACCCTCACGGATCTTGTACTCTTGTCCGTTGGCCATGTTGATGGTCATATCCTGCATGACAGCTCTTGTAAGGACAGGGGCAGCTGTAAGACGGAGAGTCTCCTCCACTGCACTGTCTAGAATGGGAGTTTTGAGAAGCATATCCCTAGTCAGGTCAATTAGTGGCCCACCTTGTTTTACTTCCTGCCCTGTTTCTCTGAGCACCCGCTCAACTTCATTCTTAATGCTGTTCATAGCCTCAGGGTGCTTCATCAGATACAAGAGTAGCCAGAATGCTGCAGGACCTGTGTTTCCCTGAGATGCCCACAGAAGCAGAAACATGTATCGATCCTGCATGAACTCTTGCATGCCCTGGTCAGCTCTCACCTGTTGCTGTTCATGTACCCACCTGCTGATGTTGTCTCTAGATCTCATCTTCTGCACTGAAAGTGTGTTCCAGAACAACCTTTTCAAACGCTCTGACTCCATCTTCTCACTGGGTCCCAGGACACCATAAGCCAGATTTGGGAATAACTGGTCATATTTTCTGAATTCCCAGAAAAGTTCATTTGAATGTTCCCGGTCAATTTCCTTAGCTTTTTCCAAAGTCCCTGTACTTTTGTGTGACTCATTACCAAACAGTGCCAGATAGCCAGCGCGAAAGACAATGTTGTAGCTGTAAGCAAATAGTCCAGTTACTTGCCATGGCTTGTCATTCCCAGATCCAACGCTGTGGAGCATCAAATTCTGAAGATTGCACATCATGGCCTGAGTCATGACAACCAGACCATCTCCCATGAGGTGCTTGTTACTTGATGCCTGGAGAAACTTGTGTTCATTTTCCAAGGAATGATAGCCAAATACTCTTGCAACTAGTAGTTCTGCAAATTTAGTAAAGTCCAGCTTTGTTCTTGCCTCTTTCACCACTGAGCCAAAAGAAAGTGGATCTGTAATGAAAGTGAAATAAAAGCCTCCCAGCTGCACTGTAAAAATATCTCCATGTTTTTCTTTCATTCTCTGCAGGAATTTGGCTGTGTCCTTCCTGAATTCCAGAACATGACCAAGCCAGGGAATAGGTCCCTTATCCAGAGGGGGTTCTCCAGGTCGCCTGCGGCGAAAAGACCCCAAAAGGTAGAGGGCCCCTATGACAGAGATAAAAAGTGCAAGCAGGATTTGAAAAAGGCTGCCCATGTTCCTCTTTGGCGTTCTCGTAGCTGCACAATGCTCTCTTTTTAATTCCTCTTTCCTGGCAGCTGTGTGTAGGCCCCACCCCCTGCAGTCATTCCAAATCACATGACTTCTTGTGAATTTCTGTAGTGCAGGGAATGACTCTTAATATAGGGTCTCTTTACAATATTGTTTCTGTGTATTCAGTGTTATCCTTTTTGTATGTTCATTGTGCTATATTTTAAAACATAAGTTGACACTATTCAGATAAATTATTATCAGTTTATCAACATTTTGCTTAAACAATTTGACATTTTGGGTGAAACACATTATTAAATTGCCCTAATGTATAAGATCAGGGCTTCCCTAAATAAAATTAAAAAATCAGTTATTTATTTTCCCAACCAAGGTGATATCATTTGATATTTGTCACTTGTTACATGTCCAGATGTACTAAATTTATCATTTATAAATCTAATAATTTATTTTCTGAAATGTCACAAATAGTATGTGAAAGAAAGCTGGGGTTTGATTTCAAATTTTAAGTACAAAAATAAATCTATTCTATTGAATCTATAGTTCAATAGTTTAATACTAATCATTCACACACTATGGCTAGTGAGGAGGAAGCAAAGAATAGTTTATGCAGGATTCAGATTAGCCTACTGTATAGTCAAATGTCTATCTTCTACATCACAGTCTGCAGATATATGTCATGATGTAGAGGGGGAAAGGATCAAGGCTATTCTTATCAGTGAGATAACAGAGATTTTGTTGCAGTAGTTAGATATAACCTTGATGGTGCAATAAAGGTTACCTTGATTCATTGCCTGTTGCTAAATGTCTACCAATGCATTTACTTTACTTTACAGAGCACTGAAGAATAACAGACATATTAATTTAGTTTAGTGAAATTTATATGGTCCAATTTCCTTAAATATTTATATTATTAATTGTATTTTGTAAATACTGAGTTCCCTTTCGAGGGAACTCGCACTGCGTCGTTGAAAACGACTCTTTGGGGACGCTCCCTTAGCGTGCGCCTCTGAAGTATGAATGAAACTAATCCAATCCTGATTGGTGTTGCGTCATGACGTAACATGTGACGGCACATAAAAGTTACGCCGGCACAAACACACATTAGCTTTCGCTCTTCAGCAAGCGCTCTCTGTGAAACTGTCTGTCTTATTTGGTGTTGTTTGTCTATGCAAAGCTCTATATTATGGCGAGTGAACAATACACTACGTGTGTGCACCCCTGCCCTATATATCTCACGGGTGGGGACACGCATCAGTTGTGTGTGTATTGTTTAGGGGCGCAGCACGCACAGGCAGCTCTCGAGAGGGCTGCCTGTGAACACTGTGAAGCACTTCCTATTAGAGTGCTGCGCTCCCGCTTGGCTATGTTATTTTCTGATGATGGCCAGGCTCGCGATCCCCGCGATTCGGGGCCCGCGTCCGTTGAGGCGGCGCGGCGGCTTAGATCGTGGGTATCGCAGAAGGATCTCGCGGATGAGAACGAGACTGCTGAGGCACTTTTTCGTTCATCATCCGCAGATTCTATGACATTCGTTCACGACGCAGAAGCCCGCGATGCGGCTTCTTCTGCCCGTGACGAGTGCCCGGTGCTCGAGCTATGTGTTTTTAAGGAAGTAGATGTGCTCAGCATCGGGAACGAGCAACATGAGTCACACTCGCTGGCTCATGTTTCTGCTCATGTGGCCAGACTTAAAAAAAAATAAATAAAAAAAAATATATATATATATATATATATATATATACACTCACCGGCCACTTTATTAGGTACCCCATGCTAGTAACGGGTTGGACCCCCTTTTGCCTTCAGAACTGCCTCAATTCTTCGTGGCATAGATTCAACAAGGTGCTGGAAGCATTCCTCAGGGAGTTTGGTCCATATTGACATGATGGCATCACACAGTTGCCGCGGATTTGTCGGCTGCACATCCATGATGCGAATCTCCCGTTCCACCACATCCCAAAGATGCTCTATTGGGTTGAGATCTGGTGACTGTGGAGGCCATTTTAGCACAGTGAACTCATTGTCATGTTCAAGAAACCAATTTGAAATGATTAGAGCTTTGTGACATGGTGGAAGTAGCCATCAGAGGATGGGTACATGGTGGCCATAAAGGGATGGACATGGTCAGAAACAATGCTCAGGTAGGCCGTGGCATTTAAACGATGCCCAATTGGCACTAAGGGGCCTAAAGTGTGCCAGGAAAACATCCCCCACACCATTACACCACCACCACCAGCCTGCACAGTGGTAACAAGGCATGATGGTTCCATGTTCTCATTCTGTTTACGCCAAATTCTGACTCTAACATCTGAATGTCTCAACAGAAATCGAGACTCATCAGACCAGGCAACATTTTTCCAGTCTTCAACTGTTCAATTTTGGTGAGCTCTTGCAAATTGTAGCCTCTTTTTCCTATTTGTAGTGGAGATGAGTGGTACCCGGTGGAGTCTTCTGCTGTTGTAGCCCATCCGCCTCAAGGTTGTGCGTGTTGTGGCTTCACAAATGCTTTGCTGCATACCTCGGTTGTAACGAGTGGTTATTTCAGTCACTGTTGCCCTTCTATCAGCTCGAACCAGTCTGGCCATTCTCCTCTGACCTCTAGCATCAACAAGGCATTTCCGCCCACAGAACTGCCGCTCACTGGATGTTTTTTCTTTTTCGGACCATTCTCTGTAAACCCTAGAGATGGTTGTGCGTGAAAATCCCAGTAGATTAGCAGTTTCTGAAATACTCAGACCAGCCCTTCTGGCACCAACAATCATGCCACGTTCAAAGTCACTCAAATCAACTTTCTTCCCCATACTGATGCTCGGTTTGAACTGCAGGAGATTGTCTTGACCATGTCTACATGCCTAAATGCACTGAGTTGCCGCCATGTGATTGGCTGCTTAGAAATTAAGTGTTAACGAGCAGTTGGACAGGTGTACCTAATAAAGTGGCCGGTGAGTGTATATGTATATCAGCTGGCCACAAAATAAGCAGGATGATCCCCGTCAAAGCAAGCTAGACGTGAGATTCCTGCAGCACCGGGGCTTTCCGTTTTCTTTTCCCAGATCTTCTTAAAGAGCTAGATCCTGGGAGGAAAACCACTCTTTACGTATCTCATCACATTCATTATATGATTATTCGAATGTGGTGGGTGCGAGAGAGGCGGGTTATGGCAAGATGCCGCAGATGGAGGAAGCTTTAGCGAGCTATCTTTCTCTTGATGCGGCATCTTCGCTTAAAGCCCCGGCGCTGCCCAACAAACCGTACAGGGACACCTATGCACTGGTTGGCCGGGCTTATATGGTGGCTGGTCAGGCTGGTGCATGCCTGCACTCTATGACGATTTTGCAGGCGTACCAGGCCGATCTTCTTAAAGATCTAAATGAGGGCGAGGGACCAACTCCTGCTGACTTCGCGAAGTTGAGAAGAGCCACAGATGTGTCTCTCCGGGCCACTAAGGAGACGGCACGTGAATACCTTTGGCCGCTCTATGTCAACTATGGTGGCTACGGAGAGACATCTGTGGCTAAATTTGTCCGGTATAAAGAGAAAGACAAATATTCTGGCCAAATATTCGCTATCACCTTCTGGCCTGTTCTCCGACACTGTCACTGCAGTCGTCGACAGGTTTTCAGGAAAGGGAAAAAACAGTCAGCGGCGTTCCAACAGTACTTCCCTCACCGCTCTAAATCTGGATCTAGGAGGGCTGGTCCAAGTGGCCAGCCTCAGCCGTTAACCAGCTCCTCCCATCGGCAAGAGCAAAAAGAGAGCGTTGCCTCTAGAGCCCCTCCTGCGGGAGCTTGGCAACAGAGGAAGCGCTCTCAACCGAAGTCCTCCACCCAGAAGGGTGACCTGAGGGCCGTCCTTTAGGTGAAGAGGATTTCGGGAAAGAGGTCCTAATTGTAGTGTAAGACCTCTGATGGCTGCCCCCCCGCTGTGGAGCAATCGAGGTTGTTCTAGCAGCAGGAGCCCTCGGGAAAAAAGATGTTGCCCGCCATCTTGCACGCTTCGGGCTACATTGGTTTCCAGAGAACGCACACCGTGGGTTCAAAGCTTGCAACAGGGCACCGACTATGGTCACAAAATCTTTCTCGTTTTTTTTTCCTGCCGGTCCTCCGCTTCAGGAAGTCGAGAATAGTGCTCGAAAAACACCCGAGGCCGGTCTCGAGGGGCTGGTTCCCTTAGTAGAAGAATGGCAACGCCTTCCGAATATATCTATATGGGTCCTGAATATTATAAAATATGGGTACAGATTGCAGTTCGGTCACCGACCTCCCAAGTTGCTGGGGTACCGACTGCAGTGGTTCCAGAACAGGCTCGGGTTATGGAACAAGAGGGACAGACTCTACTGGAATTAAGGGGCCATAGAAAGTGTTCCCCTACCAGACAGGGAGTCCGGGTTTTACAGCCGGTACTTTATAGTTCCAAAGAAGGATGGCGGACTGAGGTCGATTTTAGATCTAAGGCTTTTGAATCGTTCTTTGAGGAGATTCAGGTTCAAAAGGCCTACTATTCCCATTATCGTGTACCAAATCAGATCCGAGGACTGGTTTGTCACGATAGATCTAAAAGATGCTTATTTTCATGTCTCCATCCTTCCATGTCACAGGAGGTTCCTGAGGTTCGCTTTCGGGGCCGAAGCATACCAATATCGGGTTCTTCCGTTCGGCCTGGCACTCTCTCCCCGCACGTTCACTATGTGTATGGATGCGGCTCTGGCTCCACTGAGGCTTCAGGGCATCCGTCTACTGAATTACATCGACGACTGGCTCATATTGGCCCAGTCTCGAGAAATGGCAGTTCGGCATCGAGATGTCGTCCTTGGCCACATTCAGAACCGGGGGTTGAGACTCAACACTAAGAAAAATTTGTTGGACCCAGTAGTCAGAAGACTACTCTTCTGGGCGTGGTATGGAATTCGGTTACGATGCGGGCATGTATGTCTCCCGCTCGTATCGAATCCATCCTGGCCATGGTGTCAAGCTAGGCCAGGCCATCACTGTAAAGCGATTTCAAAGACTGC